ATCACCGTTGAGCAGAAAAATGGAAGAAGAGGTTTCGGCGAACATGTCAGACGCGCCGAATCGGATTTTTACGCACGGCCATCCAGGGTACGACGTTCCACTCGCGCCCCCGCACGGAAAATATTATACAACGTTACGTCTGGTCAGACTTATGCGTCAGTGTCTTCCTGAGAAATGCGGCTCTCCGCTCGGCTGCGGTCTGCAATGCAGTAAATTTCTCGCTTCCGCTGTCAATTTCGTAATTTCGGGAAAGCTTGGGCGCTCCGTGGATTTTCTGCAGAATTCCCTGTCGGATTTCCGACCGCTGTTCCACTCAGCCGCTCAATCATTGAATCAATCAAGCAGTCGTCCGATGAGTCATTTCCGAGCGATGATTCGGGTGAGTTTTTCCACCATAGACTGAGAGGCTCCGTGAGAACGCCGTCGAAAGGGATTCTAGAAAGAGCGGAAAAGGAGGCAAAGCTCCGCCGAAGCTTAAGCTCCCAACACAGAAAGTGAGAACCGAAGTCAGGTTCCGATTATGAACGCACGAATTAAGTGTTCGAGCTTTCGGGGCTCCGAAGGCTACCGGGGTGGTGGTGTCAAAGTCACCACCAGCGCAAGTCGACTTCATTATTCATTTAATAAGGGAATTACTATGGTGATCATTGTTCACGGTGGCGGCTCAGAGTGTGACCCTGCTCGATATTCGGAACGAATTTAGTCATTATCGCCTACGATATCCCTTAATCGACACTGCCGCAGGACGTTGATGCGACTTATTCATTCTGGAGTTGATTCCATCCTTCTGGTGACGATTTTGACGCTCCACCGAGCTGTCTCTCCCTCTCTTTCCGTGAACTCTGTCCAGGATCTGATGGGGTGATTCGTTCGGGATGATCTCCCGGCTGGAATTGTTGTCCGAAAGGGGAGAGCCTGCCAGCGACGCTGCACCGGAATGAATACTAACGGTGCACGAAGCCGGACAGAAGAGGTTGGGCTCTTTCTGACCCACTAATGGTCGGCCGGATCGCAAATACAAAGTTCATTCATTGTGCGCTTTTTTGAAAAATCTGATAGCACACAAGTGTCATTCTGTGGATCCCGCCGGAGCTCGGACAGGCGATTTCCGTATGCGATATGTATTCTCAACGTATTTACGTGTCCATGCACAGCTGGACCTACCTTAGTTGGCCCCTTCGCTCGTCTGTGGGCTTCAATTCTGAAGACACAGCTTGACTCTCCAGCATAAGAGAGGGTTGCTCGTCGCGCGACGTCTCTGCTCGGGGATGTTTTAAATGAAATTTCCAGCTAACGTCTGACTCTTTCGGTGTGGGTGGCAGTTCATTTCTTATCTTCGCTGCATCTGATGTTCGGTCAGTTAGATTCGAAAGGCTAGAAGCGGGGAACGACGAGAATAGAAGTGCCATATCCAGACTCAGTGGAGGAAGCGGCCCGCATGCTATCGGTACCTCTCCTGCTGCTCTAGTCCGCGTGGTTCCCGCTGATTGCTTTCTACTCGGACGCTCCGCGTATCCGTTACTCCGCGGAGTTTCAATTTCATCGAGAGGCGCCCCACCTTCCTGGTGAAGTGGAAAATGCATCGACCGAAGTACCGTTGCAATCGCGACAGCGCGCCGCTATATTCATTTTCTTGCGACGCGTCTTTCGGCTAGATGCATGATTTCAATCAGTGTGCCTCGACAGAGAGGCTTGATACTCCTCTCCAATTAAAACTTTCGCATTCTCGGCTCTTTCGAATTTCGGACTCTCCCGTCGGTCCCAAAGACCGATTTACAAATGTCCACGCATTCATCGACACGCGAAATCTCAGGACGAAAACTCTTTGAGTAACGGGACAGCGACAAGAAATTATCGGTGGAGCCTTCCTTGCGCGCGTCCCAGAAACGGATACGTTGTTCTACTTTTCAATTGAAGAAAAGAGTCCTGTTCGGGAAGAGAGTCTTCAAGGCCGATAAGAATGGCTACTGGATGATGTCGCCTAAACACACGGACATAGGAGCGCCGACATCCGAGTGGAGGATCGAAGCTCGTGATATGGGACATTGATAAACCCATTTGGGTGTATGTACATGGATTAAACGCTGAAGTGGTTCCGTCCGCTGTCACGAGTTTGCCCTGTTTCCTTGCGTGTTCCTGCTCCTTGTTCTGAAATTCGTTGTTCAAATTCTTCGCTTCCATTCCCGGTCTCCCGCGTTTCACCTCGCGCTTTGGCATCGCGATCGCTTCAACCTTTCGCCTTATCGCTGAATCCAAATATCTTACTCGTTATGAGTCTCAAATTCTGTGTGCCATGTGTGTCAGCAGATTGAGCTTACTGGCAAACATCACCAATTGGGTCTGTCGGCCGATCCGGAGCTTCGAGTAATCTTTTCGAAAATGCTCGTTTGACATTATCTTTCCGACATCATACGTCCCCATCGGGATTTGCAGAGGGTTCCAGCACGCTTCGCCTTGTCATCCTCGTCGGATAAGGTTGGACCGCCGTTTTTCTCTCCGGTCCTAAGGACATATTCAAAGAGCTCTCGAAGCATTTACGGTCGAAGGTTGTCAGGCTTCTGCATCCAAGAGGAGACTCCCCGCCGGTGGCGTTTTCCGTCTCTCGATGATGGGGAGAGCTCTAGTCTGTTCGAAGGGTCTCGTTTCGTTGCTCGGGAAGATTATCATTGGGATTCGAGGATTCCCAGCGGAGAGAACCGGGCAGATCCCTCCACATAGAATCGGGTCTCGTAGGTCGCTTGCTGCCCCTGTTGTGGGTGGCGGAGCGGCCACCGCTCAGACAAGCTGTCTCGCCGGTTTGAACCACCGGTGATGTGTTTTCCAATGAACGGAAGGCTTCTCGAATGTCTCCGCTCTCAGATCCCTCAAGTCTCCATGAGCTCTACCAGAAACATCTTCTGAATCGAGCCGCGCTGCTCCTCGTTTATCTGGCTGGATATCTACCTATCACGAGCTCTCGCCGATGCGTTGTATCGGGATAACATCTTAGTCGCCCGAACGACGCGGGTGGATGACACCTCACAATCATTCTCCGAAATACACCGAAACTAGTCGACCCTGAAAACATTCACGAGACAGAAAGACAACTGGGGACATGAACGTGCTACAGACCTCCGGCGACCCGCGGGCAGCTCCGATCCAACCAAAACAATCGACCTGATAACGATCCCCCTGACGGGCCTGACTGGTGGCTTATTGAATCCGCCGACTGACTGAGTGCAGTTTAATGAAAACGAGAGTTTTCATCCTTCTCTCTGAGGGTCTTCTTCTCGTAAGCAAATTCTTCGATCCCCTCACCACGCTTCTTCTGCTATAACTCCAGAGGATCGCCGAAGATCTACGCTTGGGTTCCGGAACCCGGAACTAATTCGGAAAATAAGGTCAGGAGTGGAGCAGATGAGATCGCTGGCTTCTGATGCGCAGTCTTCTTCAAATTCAGACCCTCGAACTTCAGGTTCGGGGTAAGAGGAGGCCGCGAGTACCACCGACGCCACAGGTCCATCGACCGTCAACGTTTAAGTATGCGAGGAATGAAAGAATCCGCCGGCTAGCCTGGCTCCTGCTCGTTTCAAGAAGATCGCCGCGCCGCAGCTTATCCATTGGTGAGGTCTCGACGACGAACGATCGAGAAACCCAGCTTCCCTCTCCTAAGGTGTTCATGGTGGGGTAGCAGAAACAGCGGCAGCACATGCGGCGGCGGTAGCCGAAGCAGAAACATCGGCATTCACCTCTCTCCGGACCGAGACGCCAATCAGGTCTAAGAGTGAGCTAGCTGTACCGTCGTTGAATGATCCGTGCTGAACCTGAAGCTTGGAGGACCTTTTGCGGTCAGTCCGCACAGTCGAATTCACGTGTCGAACGGCCCTCGTTCCAAAAGTTTACGATAACTAGTCGGCTTCATCCGCGGAATATTCTGCCTGTGCTTGGTGGATGATGTTTTGAGGAGCAAAGTACCCTGAGACCATGCCCCGTGCTCATCCGGATTAGGAAAACCACAGCCTCGCTTTGGGGTCCGACTGCGGTCATGCTGAAGGTATGCGACTCGACTTCCACTGAACGTCTAAAACGATAAGCTTTCCCAGATTCGAAATTTTTTATTTTCCTTTTCGATCAAGTTTTTTTTTCTCAAGTCCGAATCGCTCGAGTCCGCCTTAATAAAAACCACTCCTTTATTGATACTGATCACTTTGATACTCGTTGTGGTTATACGCAGCGAAATCTGTCACTTAACAGCCGATCCTAAGAGGGTGTGTGTGCTTCCTCCCGTGCGGGGACTTCGTGTGCGTGTTCGCGAGGAAAGATTGAAGACGGTCCACCGGTCCATGGCACCGTGTGATGTCACTTGCGGCGGATCCCGCTCGTGAGTGAGTGCTCGATTTCGTGTGTATGTGTATTTGTTCGTTTAACCACGTCGCGAGGATCAATCTTCTGCCGCTGACATTCTAAGTATTGCCGCTCGGAAACAAACTTGGAAGGGAAGAGCTTGGAAAACTCTCAAGTAAAATACTGAACGTGACGTAATCAGACGGCATGATGCGCTGCTCATATCCGGCAAATTCCAAATGATAATTTCGACGACATCAATCTACGAGCAACCGACCGACCGGTCGCTCGCCTGAGTGGTCGTCGGCATCGTCCTTCCGTCGACGTTCGTTTATTTTGTTCTTTTGCGCGCTCGCCCGCTCAATCAATCGTCCGATATTCCGGCAAGCGCTTGTTTGTTCTTTAGACGCTTAGATCGTATCTTAAATCGTCTACTTATGCCTTGATTCGATATTTTGTCTCGCAGCTGTCTCCGTTTGATTCTCTGCCCGACTCTACCACTACGTCCGGTGGACTTGGAGAACTTACAAGAGTCCGAGACAAGTGTTGACCCCAATGTGATCCGATAGCAATTCCTGTAGGAATCTCCGCCGTTCGACCCCGCGTCGTGGGTCGACTTTGACAGGCCGAACCGTCGACAGAAGATTTGCTAAAGAATCTCGTTTGATGCTTTACAGGAATGTCCGCTGACGATTCGACAGATTCGACGAGCTCATCGCCGTCAGAGTCACCGCCTCCTCTACCCCCGTTAACCGATCATCATCCACATCTAAGGATAAACCACGTTTCGATGGGGCTCGACTCGCAATCAGCGTTCATGAGGAGATCATTCCATAAGAATCCCAGGTTACCCGGATCCTACCGTTTGTCGAAGCTAAACGGTTCTTCCAGGTGAGCGAATACGCGATGGAATCGGATTTTTTTTCCATTATTTGATCTGGCCTCGCCGGAACGTCCACGATGAGATTGCAGTTTCTCGAAAGAATTCTCTCAACCCCTTCACGCATCGCTGGTGGAATTCGGCAGGATTCTCTGACACGACTCTCTAATTCTTCCATCAGGAACTCGTACGCGGATTCCGAATCAGAGAATGATCTGCCCGATAATGCGATAGCGTCAGGAGACGTGAACAATGCCGTGTTCAGTCGTGGTTCCACGCAAAGACAGAGCATCACGTCGATGAGATCGTTGCCCGCACGAATGTTTGATATTCATCCGGCACGGCATGAAAGGTACGAGTCATCTCCCAGATTCTGGATCATGCAGAGACAGCGATGTCTTTCTCCCCTCGAGTCGGAATCGTCACGCTATGCCGGAGCTCTCTAATGCCACGAATGCGCGTCTTCTCTAACTAACTGGAATTTTCCGTGTCTTCGCAGGCGGCGCGCAATAATTCCTATTTCAACCAAGATGGCGTCTCGTGTTATCTCGAACGCAACCGGTGACCTCGGAGCTTCACACGTGGATTGCAGAGATTTCACGACGATCCCTCTAGCTCTGTCTCGGGCGCCTTCGGCGTCTTCATCGCCACGCCTCCACCGCAACCAGCGCATCGTCGAAGAGGTTGAAGTACCGTCGTTCGTGACGTTCAAGCCACCGTACGGTCGCAGCAGCATCTGCAGCTCGGACGATTGCAGCACAAGCGAATGCAGCAGCTCCCCGCACAGCACCGTTCGTAGGACCGGGACGTCGAGTTCCCCGGACCTCCTGAAATCATCGTTGCACTGGTTCAAGGATCCCGCGTGCCGATTGTCAATGTCGAGTCAGAGTTCTTGGTTTTCCGACGATGAGCTGTATTCGATGCGCAGCAAATAGGGTACAAGCTAGCCCCGTCGGAGTTCCTCTTCGGAACGGGGAGCATTCGAGCTAATGATATTTCGAGAAGCCTGCTTAATTATAGGCGATATAGGCGCGAGACGAGCGACGGGACCGGGAACTTAGGCTACCCGCGGGCCAATCGACCTGTAATCGCACCCGACCGATAATCTAACGTATTTTGAATGACGAACGGAAATAATTTTAATGCTAGGAAGCGAACAAACGAAAACTTTGAAACGAACGGACAGATCAAATCTATGTATCGTTCCTATTTCGCGCATCCTTCTCATACTGGAGAAGAGCGAATAGGATCGCCGAGGCTGTCCGGATTGCGAGTGAGTTCGGCTCGAAGATATTTATTCTCTTGGCAATTCTTACCATCCATGTAAGAAGCAGAAGACGAAGATAAACTACCATGGCGAGAGCAGCGATGTTCTTGACGAATCAGGGCCAGCTAGTCACACCACTACACGGGAGAACACAAACAAACAACGCGTAAGAGCATCACCACATGGGACAGACAGACGGACGGACATCAAGGAGTTGCATAGTAATAAGGTATCGAGCCTACGTGCACACGATGCGCATATGAGGGGAGCATACGGGAACGAAGACCTAGACTTTTGTTGCATATATGAAGTCGTCGTTTGAGAACGGGGCCTCAGTCCGCGTGCATCGGAGAACAGACTCCTCAAGACAAAATGAGTCTCGCAGAATCTCCATCAGAAAGAATCAAAAACACATTCTCTACACCTATGTAAATAATATAAATACTACTCAATGTATTTGAGGCCTTCTCGAGCCCTTTGATGATCTAGCGGCAGTAAGGAGCTAAGGATTTCTCCATCAAAAAATTTCTTGTCGTCTTTCGAGACTCTTCCGTGATCTCCAGACCATCCTGAAGGATCGGGAACAAGACCTCGTTCCCTGGCGAGATCACCTTACACGTCCCAGAATTTCTCCTTGGCGGAATCTCGCGATGCTTTCTGAGACTTCGCGGGCCGGAAGATCGAATCGATTCCCTCTGTGAAGGAATCGCTGGGTTCGAGGATTTTCTGCAAGACGTGGAATTAATTCAGTCTTGCGGCCATCTCTCAAATCTTGTCTTCTTTTCGAAATTATCGATGGTGGGCTCGGACAACGAGCGGGATGATTTGAGGGGAAATTCGAATGGAAGAGAGAGAATTGTACATAGAATAATTGATGTCAATGTGCTTGCGTGCCAGACGCTGAAATATAATGTATTGAGACGAAGAAAGAGCATGGAAATAAATCGAGAATGATATTATCCGGTATTTTCATTAATTCATTTGGAATTCCGAACTTGAAGCAAGCCAATTCTGGCGTGATGAAAGCAAAGCTCATTCGTTCATTAAAATAGTTTCGTGACTAGTGAAACTGCTCGACATTTCGCTTTGATAATCGCCCCATCCTTGTGGTGAGGATCCGAGTAGGGACCAGGGTAACTTCGAGACACGACCATCCGATGAAGAGTCGGAATCCAGAGATACCATCGAAAAAAAATCCTCCGAGCCTTCATGATCCCAATACTTCAATATTATATCATCAGTCATCGTATTATTCAGCTCATGGTCGCAGTCGCTATCACAAAGGCGCAAATTCTTATGCTACAGTGCCCAATACCTCATCACTTCCATAATCCCTTCGTAGAGACGTCCTTTTCTTGGTTTCTTTCCATGACTTTGGTCACAGCCATGAGAAAATCATCCTGAGTGACGTGATGCCTTCGTTCCCTCAGCGCGTACATGCCAGCTTCCGTACAGACCCCTTTCATCTAATGAAGAGCGAAAGTAATGGGAGGGATGGCATTTCACTATTATTTCCTCAGTCCGGGCCGAATCCATGAATGCTCTCACACTCAAAGGATAAACTCAAGGATATGATGCGTAACTATTCGGCATGAATATCTGTAGTTCGCTCACCTCGGCACCAGAGGCTCCGGTCATCGATGCAGCGACTTTTTTGAGATCGATTCCCCTCGTGAGATTCATCCTCCGGGAATGAATCTTCAGTATATCGTATCGGGCCTCCTCGTTCGGCGGAGGGAACTCTATCTTTCGATCGATCCTGCCGGGCCTAAGCAAGGCAGAGTCTAAGATATCGATGCGATTCGTTGCCATGATTATTTTGATGTTCTTTGTGGCTTCAAAGCCGTCAAGCTGATTCAACAGCTCCAGCATCGTCCTCTGAACCTCTGAATCGTTATTTGCACCACTGTCGTTCCGTGTGCTTCCGATGGAATCGATCTCGTCCATGAAAATGATTGATGGAGCTTTCTCACGGGCCATCACGAACAGCTCGCGAACCATCCTAGACCCCTCACCGATGAATTTCTGAACCAATTCCGAACCCGAGACCCTCATGAACGTGCAGTCCGTGTGGTGAGCAACGGCGCGAGCCAGCAGAGTTTTCCCAGTGCCGGGGGGACCGTACAATAACACGCCTTTCGGCTGTTCGATGCCCAGAGCTTCGAAAAGCTCAGGATGCTTTATCGGCAGCTCCACAACCTCTTTGATCTCCCGAATCTGTTTGTCGAGACCTCCGATGAGGTCGAAGGAGGAATCAGGAATTTTCTCGACTCTCATCAGGGAAACAACGGGATCAATTTTACTCGGTAAAATTCGGTGGAGGAAATAGGAGTCGCTGTTGAGAGCAACTCGTACGCTTGGTTTCAGATCTTTCGGATTGATGGCCTTCGACACCTCGACCACGAACTTTCCCTCATTAGGAATTTTCACGTAGACCTTGTTCCTCTCAATAACCTTCACAACTTCGCCGACGTACGACGGTGGCTCTCTGAGTTTCTGTAGCTGTACACGCAGTTCCAGCACATTCGTATTGAGCTCGTTCCGTTGAGCTTCGAGACGCCGCAGGGTCTTTGTTCGCTCGGCAATTTCGATGCTCAAATTATCAATTTTCGAAGTCAAGTATTCCTTGATGAAATCATTCTGTCGAGTTCGCTCGAGTGACCCTCTCATCAAGTTGCCAGAACGATCCACGATCGAACTGAGATCCCCGGCGTGTTCCAGCGAGTCCATGATGAACTTCATTGCTTCACATGGAGAAACAGCAATGTCTGATGAAACCTCGTTGTGCAGAGCAATTTCAAGGGGGGCCCTGAATTCCGGGCTCACGCGCAGAATCAAAGAGTCCCCATAGCCTTCTCGACCCATGAGACCCTTCAAATCATGTTCCCCGCTCCGCTATCGTCCACATTTGGAAGGTATTCGCAGGTCCCGCGATGAGGATGATTCGCATGGCAAAGACTCCATGAGGGTATCGTTCCCGGATGAGCCTGCACGACGAACAGTCTTTGCGAGACGATCATCTCTCATTTGTGTGAGCAACAATAAAAAATCGCGTATGACTGCGGCTAACGGAAATTTCGGCGGATCCCCTAAGACATAACAGAGCGAGATCACGTGGCGTCGGGAGTCGTCCTCGGTTCCGATACTGATGCTCGTTGAAGTCAGGTTTCTGACGGCCGTAGAGGATCCACGAATTCTCCTTCGCCGGCGGCTTTGCGATCTTCCCGGTAATCAAGCCACGCTCGGAGGGGTTGGGAACGATACGAGAGCACCTTCCGGAAATGAGAGAAAATTTCCGGGACCACGGTCCGAGCCCGAGATCTCCTCGAGACACCAGGATTCGGGATCCAGCGAGAATCGCTGATCGCGCGGTTCGGCTCGTGCGCGCGGACGGCGCTGCGGTCGCCACGCTGATCTAGCAGACGGACGGGCCATACGCCATCTTGTTCCGCGGTCAGTTGACTTATCCCAAAGCGGCGGCTTCGTAAACGCGTGATTGCCGCAAGTGTTGTGGATTCCTTTTGACTTCGAAGTTTTTTCACCCAATACATCCGCAGCATAATGAAGGCCATGCAGAGACCGATCATCCTTTTGAAAGACGGAACCGAGTCGCACCAAGGCAAACCTCAAGTGATTTCAAACATCAATGCTTGTCAAGTTATCAGCGATGCGGTGAGGACTACGCTGGGTCCTCGTGGAATGGATAAATTGATGGTCGATTCGAAAGGTAAGAGTTTCGTGACGATTTCCCGCTGACGGTCGGTGGGAGCGGGGCTCATAGGGGGAATTCATCATGTACGACGACGACGAGTGCTGTATCCTCTCGTGTATTTTGCGAATCCATTTTAGGAGATCAACAATGCGCGTTAGGAGCGGCATGTCCATATATGGGCGGGACCTCCCAAAAAGTCAAATGCTTGTCATTGTTCGCCTGTGATTAAGGGGGGTCGGACGGATACCACGATTAGTTGCGAGACAATATTGTAGCGAATATAGAGCGCAGCGTTGTTCGCAACGCCAGGTGGCAAGCGACAGAAAAACTGACTGAACCGAATTCGGTGCCTGAAGGGGACGGTCTTGGCTCGCGTGAGAAATTGCTGTTCCCGAGAGAGCTCCATCAGACTAGTACCAGATGTGCATGGAACAGATTCGTGAATGTCATCGTGATATAGGGCGACGGTTTCTAATAATTCTCTCTCGAACATCTTCCAGGAAAGACAATTATTTCCAACGATGGAGCGACCATTATGAAGCAACTGGATATTGTTCACCCAGCGGCCCGCACTCTGGTCGATATTGCCAAGAGTCAGGACTCTGAGGTGGGTACCTCCATGCGGTGTCCGATCCTCGAAGACTCAGTCGCGAGATATCCCACAGCTAGTCCGCTTGTGACTCCGATTGGAATCACAGATGGAGACTCTCACTTCCAGGTCGGCGATGGGACCACATCGGTTGTCTTGCTAGCTGGTGAATTTTTGAAACAGGCCAAACCATACGTGGAGGAACACGTCCACCCTCAGGTCATCGCTAGATCCTACAGGAAAGCCTCGTGCATGGCCATTGATAAAATCCGCGAAATCGCCGTTACGGTAAGTCTAATTCATCGCGAGGCTTCAGCTAGATCGGTTCCCCGATATCCATCACATGATTCCCTGACCCGTACCCGACCCGTAGCTTGACTCGCTCTTGGGATGTCAAGACTCGTTGCATGGCAGACCAAGGCAAACAAATAATTTTCCAGCGAAAAGTTGATGGTGGGGGTGAGAATTTCTCTTTCGGTGGAAATGTTAGTTTCAATAGACCTTCTCGAGTTGGCGATCGTTCTCTGTACATAGATATACATATGTACATTTGAATATCTCCGGACGCGCAACCGCTAATATAGAAATGCGTTAATTCCCACAGGTCGACAAAGGAGCCGAAACTCGTGCACTCCTGGAGAAATGCGCGATGACAACATTGAGCTCTAAGCTCGTGGCTTCGAAAAAAGAATTCTTCGCGAAAATGGTCGTAGACGCTGTGATGCAACTCGACGAGTTGCTGCCCCTCAACATGATTGGTACGGAGCTTTCTTGCCTTCATGAAAACCCGTATTTCCCTCTATCCTTACCTTTCCCCGACCGCTTGCGCCTCACTTGGAGCAAGTATTTGTTTCTGGAAGCAAATAAAAACGAACGCTGATCCCTTTCTCGCAGGTATCAAGAAAGTCTCCGGAGGAGCTCTGGAGGACTCGGTTCTAGTTTCGGGAGTCGCCTTCAAGAAGACTTTCTCCTATGCTGGATTCGAAATGCAGCCGAAAAAGTACCACAATCCGAAAATCGCCTTGTTGAACATCGAGCTAGAGCTTAAGGCTGAGAGGGACAATGCCGAAGTCAGAGTCGATAGCGTCGAAGAGTACCAAAACATCGTCGATGCCGAGTGGAACATCCTCTACGATAAGCTAGCGAAGATCCACGCTTCCGGTGCTAAAGTCGTTCTCAGCAAGCTGCCTATCGGAGACGTGGCCACGCAGTATTTCGCCGACCGCGATATGTTCTGTGCTGGACGCGTTGCCGAAGAAGATCTCAGGAGAACCATGAAAGCTTGCGGCGGATGCGTTCTGACGACTGTCCAGGACCTGAAGGATTCCAACCTTGGATCTTGCGAAAAATTCGAAGAGAACCAAATCGGAGGCGAGCGTTACAACATATTCACGGGTAAGCAGAATAGAGTTATCTATCTGATTCCTTTCTCAGGATGTGAATCTTTCCCCTCATCGAGTTTCCTCTCCGGACCGCTTCCAGGCTGTCCCAATTCGAAAACCGTCACCATGATCTTGCGAGGAGGAGCTGAACAGTTCATCGAGGAGACCGAGCGTTCCCTGCACGATGCCATCATGATCGTCCGTCGTGCCGTGAAGAACGATGCCGTCGTCGCTGGAGGTGGAGCAATCGAGATGGAACTCAGCAAATACCTCAGAAACTACTCGAGGACGGTCGCTGGAAAAGAGCAGCTCTTGATCGCGGCTTTCGCCAAGGCGCTCGAGGTCATTCCACGGCAACTGTGCGACAATGCTGGATTCGATGCGACCAACATTTTGAACAGGGTACGTATCCGGGGAGTGCTGCGTCTGGCGTATCTGACACATCAGAAATCCCTACAAACCTTCGCGGGAGAGCTTGAAACCTATCGGATGGGACTTGTTCCCAATCGAGGGAATCCAATCATCGGGGTTACGTTCCTGATCGAATCGCTAAATCTATGAAAAAAAATTTCAGCTGCGTGAACGTCACGCCAAGGGGGATAAATGGTCTGGAGTCGACATCAATAACGAGGACATCGCAGACAATCTCGAGGCGTGCGTCTGGGAACCAGCGGTTGTGAAAATTAACGCTCTCACTGCCGCGACGGAAGCAGCCTGCCTCATACTTTCCGTCGACGAGACCATCAAAGCGCCGCAAAGTAATACCGACCCGACGGCCGGGAGACCTTTCTAGATTCGCTCGTTCTGTGTTCAGGCGAATGAGGCTATCACTAATAAACTATTGAGACTTTTTCGGCTCACATAACATATTGATGTTTGTGTTTTCATCTAGGGAGCTAATAATCGTTCCTATCGCGTAAACTCGATAGGGACCGGGATACGTGTCGGAAGCGAGAAATATACTTTTATTTGTATATTATTCTGTACATTATGATTTGGCGTCAAGTATTTATCGTGGAGCATTACAACCATTTTTGGGATCTTGTTGAGCCATCCTTCTTGTTCTCCGTGCAAGGGAATGAAAATCATTGGACCATGTCAACTGTCCGCTTGACCCTCTGGGTAACGACGAAATCCTAGGCGTTAGGGTCTGACTCCTCCCGGGCAGATGGGCTCGAGGTTTTCTCCTCGACGACCGGGGACTTGAAAATTCGACTGGAGTCAGTCACCGGCAGGTCCTTCATATGAACTGAGAAACTCGTCAAGCTCCATTGATTTGCCTTCGAAGTCTGCAACTTCGAATTGAAATATTTTGGGAAACCTCCCTAACGCTGAAAAGGCCGCAGTCGAACGATTCAATGCCGATATTGACGGGAGTGACTCACTTTGCTGATTCGCACCCGTCGGAGAGCACAGAAGGAACACCAGAGCAAGGCGCTTGTCAACGCCGCCAGCAGAGCGCCGATTAAGGCGATTATGGCTCTCAGGGCCGCGGCTGAGAAATTTGCGAACATCCGGAAAGACGAGAGGAAACTCTGAGCCTGCGGCAGAGCAAGGAATTAGTGAGGGATTCGAGAGTCTGAACGATTCGTCTCCGCTGCGAGAGTGGAAACTATCCGAAGCGGCCGCCCGGACCTCGGAGAGATTTCCCTCAAAAACCATTGAGTCACGGACCTTCTCGACGAAGCCTATTTGGCCCTCGGCGGTGCATGTTGCTTCTCCGGAGAAAGTTCCTTCGGGGAGACACTTGATGCTGTCCAGATTCGCTCGGAAGCCTGCTTCACAGTTGAAAGCCATCGAGAGGTCAACTCCGAGATTCGTTCTCTCTGAGATTGCGGAATGCTGAGGGAGGCTCGGGCTCCCGCAGGAAACCGGGTTAGAAACACATATCGTTTGATGAATTCCCTGGCAGGCTCCTGGACGCCAACTCTTCTGCTCGCTCACGAGACATTTTCCGTTCGGATGCTTATTCGTCATCTGGATTCCTTTGATCTCCGTGCCGTTTCCGTCTATCCAGGTGCTGTCATTGACGCGGTTTGCGTTCACCCAGAAACTAGGAAGGTGAAGATTCGTTTCTCAGAGTGCTCCTTCGCGGAATCCGGGGTATGTGGTGAAATTCCCCGAACGATCTTGAGGACGAAAAGGATCCCCAAAACCCACTGACCTGACTACGAGTTGCTCGAAGGATTTCTCGACGAAGCGCATCACTTTGAAATCGATGAAGTTTTGGAAGACCCTCGAGATAGGCATCACGAGTGTTCCCCCGTAGGATTTGCACAGACTGGAAGCGCTGGCAAAGGTGTTTTCTCCGAGGAATCGGATGCATTGATTCTGCGGAAGAATCGATCATCATGATTTCTCAGAGACAGCTGAGAAATTCTCAGCTCCGGTGCTACGTGAAAAACTTCGGACACGATTCAGGATAATGATCTAGAGTCTACAGGAAAGCCTCACAGAGTTACCTTGAAAACGTGGCGCATTGTTCCTGAGGGCAAAGGGGGGTCAGAAGAACAGCTATCCTCGACGGAGAGACCCCAATCGCTGTAGACGTTTACTTCACAGAACGAGACGCGATGCTGCCCGGGTTCCTCAATCGCGATCGAGACGTACCTGCAGGATTCCATTGATTGATAGTACTCTTTCGTGTCGCCGCTCGAATCTGCTGGAAAATCTGCGGAATTTGTTCTCTGCCTCCTACCTGCCCATCGCAGCATGGTCTTCGCACAAGAACTGCAGCTTCTTCTCCGTCACCTGACCGATACTCTGTCTCGTACACAGCTTATTGAATTTAGCCCCTGTCGATGGAAAATGCGACCCCACTCGGATCTCGATCGTCGAATTCGGCAGTAAGTGTTCAGACAGGATCGTGACGACCTGGAGATAGCCTCCTTGTCAGTGTGCCTTCACCAAAGACTCTCACAATCAGATGCACGGGGATTTGCTGCAATTTTGCTTGTTATTGTACCCACCCGCACTCGATAGACTTGGAAAGTGTCGACGCTCCAGACTACGGTCTTTTCGTGGGAATCGAATGAGAAACAGGTTCGCGGATCCCCATCAGCCGCGAGATCTGCACCCGCGTACTCGTCAGCCTGCGACGTAATCTGACACGCATTTCCTTCAGCAACTTCGAGAAGGCACTCTGTGTCGTGTCTTAGCCATTGACCGTTCGAGCAAGTTGCGTTTCCAGTCCCGAACAAAGTATAACCAGCATCGCACTCGAACCTGTCCAGAACAAAAAGGGGAAATCTGCATCGCTTCGGTCTTCGGGCTACCTACTTCGAGAACAGGGCGATCCTGACTCACTCACTTCACGAGGCTGCTTTCGGGGAAGCCTTCAAGGGACCCGGGGGGTGTGGGCTGGGAGATGATTTGCGAATGACGCGGTAATCTCGGTCTTGGACAGCGTTTTCCGGAAATTGTCGGGAGCAATTGTGACCAAGTCACGCAGAAAATCGCTAAATAGAGACAAGTATTCGGTCCCATGTTCGGGCGTTGATCGGAGGTGAGCCCTTACTTCGGGCACGTATGGAGAACGATCCGAGCGAGCTCGGCGACGTTGGCGATTTCACAGCACGTGCAGACGTTGTGGATGCAGAGTTCCCCTGCAAACAAAAACTTGTGTTCTCCCACCCGCAATGTTGTGACGGCCATCGATAGAAAATTCAAACTCGGTAACCTCCGAGTACCCCTGTCTCCTGCTCTCTTCCGCACATCGTGACTTCGTGACGAGAGGTCCCTCCTATACTCCGCGGAGATCTACTTATGGCTCTCCTGAAGGGACGAGGAAAAGCTCAACGAGCCCAGCGATCGAGGAGGGCACCCGCACGGAGACCTAGCGCTAGCGACCGGCAAGTTTACTATCGTAGACTCCGACACGTATCTGAAGGACTTGGGCTGGTAGTCGTGGATTACGAGAGGTCGTCACGCCATGTACAGCTGAGAATTTGCCGGGTGGTACCGCTCCTCGGTCACATACGAGTTCTCGAGCGAGTCGAGGAGAACGAGGCTTCTCCCAACCCCTGATGTTCGTTCCGACCACCGTGACTTTTTTTGGACACGATCAGATGCTGATTCTAGAGAGCGAAAACCAAGACTTCCAAAGAGCCTAATCGGTTCGGCTGCTGCAAAATATTGTGGCAGTCTTGCGGTGGAAGTCGAGCGAGACAGGGAGATCACGATGAGTCCCTCGAAGATCACGAAAAAAGTATTCCAACATTTACAAAGCTCACATCTGACTGTGTTCACATTTTGTGTTATTCGATCTAAAGTTCATAGAAAACCTCGAAACCCTAAATGACTGTACTTATTAAGAGTTTGACTACCATAAAGGAGGCTTGTCCAAAATACGATGGTCTCATTGCTTTTCTATAGATTTATTGACTCGAATGGGGATTTTTAATGGGTCCGCGACGCTTGCTGTATGAAACTAGAGATGATTCGAGACCACCCGGATGTCGACGACGAATAGGTTCGCTCAAGGAAGTCAGAGAAGTCTCGTATATCCGGTTTTCTCTTATATCCGGGGTCATTGGCACTAGAGCCTCTGAGATCGGGAGTAGGAAAAAGGTCCCTCATACGTACCCGGTCTCTCATTAGGAGCGAATTAGACTATAGAACAGAGGTTCCCAAACTTTTTCTTCCGCGGAACCCTTCGCGGAACCCCTAGTGTTCCGTGGAACCCTTCCTCATTTTTCAAAAAATTCAAAGTCCTGTCAATTGCTCTTTCTTTTCAGCTATCAGAGGAAATACCACTCGTTTGTTCCGGACCAGACCCGAATGTTCATTGCTCGAGTCAATTCTTGCGTAAATTAGGAATGCTCATCTAGTGGGAACGTGCCTTGTGCAACGATCTTAGCATTGTGCATTCGTTGCCGATCGATGCGCCAATTAGAACGATCCCCTTAGGGATTGAGGAAGACATTTGGAATCAGGAAAAGAAGTTCCCCACAGGGCTACGACACCTAGGGCCCGTATATGACCGAACATATGGGAGCAAAACCTCGTCGCGGAACCCCGAGTTGCGCAAAGAGCAGCCCACGGAACACCGGGGTTCCGCAAAGATTTTTTCACGGAACCCCCGGGAAAGAGCGACGGAACCCCAAGGGTTCCGCGGAACCCAGTTTGGGAACCTCTGCTATAGAACATTATCCGGTCGCGTCACTGATGCAATGTTTCCGGAAAGATTCCTCGATCCCTCCAGGAGTCGTCATCGCTCCAGAGGGTGAGAGAGACTGGGAGACTGCGGAGAGGGATCTCGGCATACTCCTTACGAAGATCTGGTCGACGGGTTCTGCTGTGCAGCGAATGACGAGAGGTCACTTATTTTTCGTGCGAACTTCTTCTCGACTCGAGCGTGGATATGAGATTCATGGAGTTTCCAGCGCGTAAACGGGACCGGGACGCCGAAGCCGCAGACGCCGAATCAGTAATTCGCTCTCTTAATTGTCGGTCCTCACACGCTCCGCAGACTCACTCATTTTTCGAAAGCCTGCTCCACATCTAGGAGAAAACCACCGGAATTTTGAGATGATTGAGCTCCTTGGACTGATAACGCCCCTTTGTGACTACACGCGACATGGATAGCTTTTCAAATAGATACCCAATACGCAGCCTCATCGAATGTCTCAGCTACTCCTACTTCTTCCCGTGCTTGGACATCGGAGAGAATGAGAAACAGTTGAGCGGTGTATCCGAATGCGCCCAAGATGCAGACTCGCTCCAGAGAACACAGAGGGAAGCGCTAATATGCATCGACGGAATTCGAAGATATGACACTCTGGAGTTCGGGTACTCATTTATACTTTGAGCTTTATTAACTTAATGTATATACAACGAGGAAACAACTTCCAGGGGAACCAGTGTATGAACAAATTGTCTATTTATTTCATCGCCTCTTTCATCGATGCTCTGGACCATTGACTCCCGGATGCAGAAAAGTACAGCCAGCTCCGAAGCGACAGTGTCCTTGTTTGAAAAATTTACACAATGTGCGGGGTGGCCCGCGAATGTTGTTTCTTGCACCACCGCGGCCTCTCCGTCGTTCATTAACCATATGAGGCGGTGGGGCAGGTCCACCCATCGGTGCCCAATGGCCTCCCTCGTTGTCCATCATGTGCATACGGGGCGGGGGAGGGATATGTACAGGGGGGATTTGGGGTCCGGACGGACCACCTGTGGGTATGAATATTGGGGGAACCATGTCTGGAGGAACCAACGGGGGACCTAGTGGAGCCACCATCGGGAATTGAGGCTCCGGGGGGATGATCGGAATTTCAGGTGGCCCCAAAGGTGTAGTGCCGATCTGTGGGGCGGACATATTGGCCAGAAGATTCGAAAGCGCTTCTGGCAATGCAGCAGGTGTCTCCTGGCTTGACCACGGCTCCTCCGCGGGGGTGGCATCGACGTCTTCGAGCGGAATCATTTTCGTTTCAGCCGAGTCGAGCGACGATCGTCGATTCTCCGGGTCGGGTTCCGTCGGCGATTCAGGGATCATTCTTCGGTTGAAGTAGAGAACCTCGAGGACGGTGGCTTGTCGGATCGCCTCGGTTTTCGCCATCTCCGAGTTCTTGCCGATTTCGTGAGGCTTCAGACACGGCTGTCTGTCCTTGACAAATTCTATCAAGCTCGGCATTGTCCACTGCTGCTGTTCCTCCATTCGATCGTTCGGCGCTCTCAGACGCTCACGCTCCATACGCATTTCAATCATTTTGATATCTACGCTGCCGTCCACCTTGATCCCCTGCTGCATGTGATTGATATTGTTGACATTGATTCTCTCGTTGGGATCGTGCTCAAAGTAATGGAATGTTTTCAGATCGGCGTCTTCCTTCCACCGAACGGATTTCTTGACTCGATTCCGGTTCGTGACGATGGTGAGGATTGACTTCACGCCGGCAGGATTGCTGACAACTTCTCCGAGAGTCTGAAGAACAACAGGAATCCCCTCTTCTTCAGGTTCTGCGCTACCTTCTTTTGGGTTAGTTTCTGTGCTTTCGGTGACTTCGTCTTGCGAAGCACTCGACGTCGACTCTTGAGATGCCTCGTCTGGAAAAAATAAATGGCAAATTGTAGCATCATCGTGCCCTCAATTCAAATTTCGAGGATAATCGTGCCCATTCACGATCAGCATGGGTAAAGCTTTCGTAGACTCGTTCTCCGTGCGCCAGCCTAATTAACTTACCGATTTTCGCGGCTTTCTCCGCAGGCTCTTCATTGCTTTCTCCGTTATCACTATCTTCTTCGATGATTGCTTTCCGTGTGCGACTTCTGAGCGTTCTTCGGTTTGAGCTGTTTTCCTCGTCCTCGAGGGTGTCTTTATAGAACGAAAGCTGAGGAGGGGCCTCTTTCGTCTTGACTGGGCTCGTACTGCTTTCCTCGGCCTCGAAAACCTGGTCTGAGCTCTGTTCGTTGTCCTCGTTACCGCTCTCGTCCTTGCTATTTTCTCGCTTCAATTCTCCGGGCTTCTTCGAAGGAGGCGACGATACTTCGCTGAGCTTCCGCTTCTTCTTACCGGCGGCCTGCGTGCTCTTCTCAGTTGGCGCGGACGCGTTCAACGCATTCATGAAACCTTCGTTTTCCATGATGAGATGAGCAGGCTTTGGGGGTGCGATGAGCTTTATGTTGCCCACTTGCTGTTCGGTCTGATTTAAATGAGCATTCATGATTGAAGCGCGAACTCCGCTAGGACCAGAGAGGTTTCGTAAACTTGAAAGAGGAACGGGGGGTTTCGAGAGCGTGCTCGAGCTAGTTGCCGCGGGTTTTGCAAGCTTCTTCTTCTGTAGCTTTGCCGAGCTCGCGTCGTCTTCCAGGAACGATGCTAATCGGAGCTTCGATCCGAATTCCTTGACGGTTTTGGGGCGTTCAGTTTTTGGCTTCCGAAGCTCAGGTGGCGTTGGAGGTCTCGGAGGTATGACGTCTGTCATGTCGTCTGTCGCTTCAAGACCACTTGATGACTTGAGCTTTTTGCTGGAGGTTCTGTCCGAGTCATCGCTCTCTTTGCGTTTCTCGCCCTTCGAGCTGCTGTCTTTCTCTTTTCTACGATCTCTGTCCTTCCTTTCCTTCCTATCTCGCTCTTTATCTTTGTCGGACCTCGATGAACTTTTGTGCTTGTGGCGGTCTTTCTCGTCCTGAATTCGGAAGAAACACTCGATCAGAATGGATCTAGAGCAAGAGCGCTCGGATCATCGAAATGGATTGAGTAAGGACCTTCTACGGGTGCCGCCCCTACGGGAGTCTGATACTGACCTTTTTCTTGTCATCGCTGCTCTTCTTGTCATCGCTGCTCTTCTTGCTACGCTCCTTATCCTTGCGTTCTTTTCGGCGCTCACGATCCTTGTCTTTTGTGTCATCGTTGTTCTTAACCAGCTTCATCCACTTTGTGACGAGGGCGTCTGCTTTTTGCGCAAGTTCTGCATCGTCGTGCTTTGCTAAACCCTGGAAATTGAGTTCTCGATTGATCACGCTGAGTTTCGACGAGACATTGACGAACCTTCGGAGATATTCCGTGGATATTCGTTCTTTACCTTGACGATCTTCGCTATCGAATTCGATTTGAGGCGATCGATGGTCATAGGGAGTCTGTCGAGTAAACCGATGAGTTCCTTCAAAAATGAAGGGTTGTCTTTTGCTTCGTCTATCCACAATAATAATGTCCCCCATCCATCCTGATCAAGATAACTGCAAAGAATGAAGTCGTCAGTTCCTGACTGCATTTACACTTGTGGATACGCATCAGAATATGAGTGTAGTAAATCGAGACCCCGGGGCCCCGCGAAGGGCGCGAGCGGAGAAATTGCTCGATCCGCTTTTGGCAGCACAAGAGAGACTCTCCGAGACGCAGTCGATTGGTTCATTGCACAAGGTCTCGAAGACGCTTCCCGCTTACTTACATATCGAGTATCTGTGGTGATGTCGCTCTGAGTACACAACAATATATACAACGACTGACAAGTTTCCGTGAGAAACGCTTCATTAGACTGCAACAGGAGGAAAACCGTTAGTATCCTTCTCTTCATGTCTCTTGAACACTGCCGAGCGGTCATGTGGAGTGAGTAGTACGTCTCCCGAGGACGGGTCGCAGCAGTCGGAGACCCAACTTTCGCGGCGCTCGAGACGGATTTATATCTCGTTCTGATTCTCCGAGATGAATGTATCCGGCTCTCTCGACGAATATTATGCCGTGCCCATTATTTGCCCGATTGCAATTAGGACCTTCGCTCAGTCTCCGATTCGAGCATTGCTCGACTGTGGACCACAATGAGCGCCTGTCCAGAACAGTCGACGGAACGCCGTGAGAGAATCCCGAACCCGAAAGCCCACCGGCGGATGCGTCACCGTCGTTGTCAACCTCGCGGGTCTGAGCATCGACCGAACAGTGCGCAACCGGAGACAGACTGGAGACCTCGAGGCCTGAGTCTGACTCCGCTCCTCATACGATGGCGGGAGGAATTGCCGAATCTTCAGCGTATCGACTCACTCTATTTCTTCATGCGGATCGGCTCCTGAACATCATGGCACTTCATGCCCCTGATTTCACTGACGTTTGGGAGGACTAATCCCGAATTATTCACGTTTCTCACTCAGAAGGTCTTCAAACTGCACAGGGGAACACTTTCGACACACGTTCGACCTTGATCACAGCTTCCTCAAATTACAAGGAGGCGGATCCGGTTCCGCGATTCTGAGGGAACCGAATCCCTTGAGTTGTCATATTCATTCGACAGGCTCCGTCCCGCCAGTTCCCGAGACTTTGACATTGATTCTCATCGGGATTCCCACTTCCGCACTCCAACCATCGCATCTTCGTTCGAGGGTATTCTGTATTCAGCCCGCCATGCGGTCCCGGCATCTTACGGTTCGACTATTGGAACCCTGAGATATGCCGAAGGCTCTACGGCGCGACTCCCTGACTCGACCCCGCGCACCGACTGGTGCGAGTTTCTTATCAGAGTCTCGGAGCGGATATGTTCTCCGGAGCGAATATGTTTCTTTCGTCGGAGTAATTGTGGTGTTTCTGCTCAAGTCGGATGCTGCTGGCTTGTCACTGCCCTGCTGTCAAGCAAGAAAGGACGCACTCGCATTGAATGGCTTGAACTTTATTATGTGTTGTCTGATGCTTTTGAGGCATCGGTGGCTGTGTATGCTGTGAGGATTCATACGTCACGCTGATGGAAAGGGGGAATCGATGTCACGATTGCCTCGTTCCCCTGACCACCTTCATTTCCCCCGGCCCGATGATATGGATACTATTCCAGGATATCGAAGTCATTCTAGAGACGTACTACTCTCTCCGGACAGACGTTCAATTGGAAATTACTCGGATCGGATTTAGGAGATTGGAAGAGGGGAAAAATGTTAGGAAGCGTGTATACAAACCTAGAGAGTCTCGAAACCTCATCAGCGTCTTTGATGCCGCCATCTTCCGAGAGCAATGGCGACAACGCTTTCAGTAGCTGTCCTGGATCGATCGGCGCCTGGAACGAAGATCGAATGTATTCAATCGAATATACGGGAAAAGCGAGAATCCGCCGCTATCCCATGGCTCATGAGTCTACGGGCATCCGCCTGCAACGTCCTACTCGTTTTGGGTCCCGATCATTGGGGGTTCCTCAGCAGTCGAGCCTGATAACTCAAAGGAAGCCCTAGGAGCGCATACGACACTCCAACCGGTCGTTAGGGTCGAGGACGATCCCGATACGCACTTTGTCCAAATCGGATCATAATCCGTCAGTAACTCGCACGAGAAGCCAACATGACGTCTTCTGACGTCACGGACCGACCTCAGCTCTAGCTCTTTGACCTTTCAAGGAGTAGAGAGCGTTCTGAGCGCGACGCTGGGGACGAGGATTGGAAAATATCGGCTTGCGAAGTGTTCGGTACACTCTTATAGCCTCATCCGAGGAACGAAACTTGTTGCTTCCTCGTGAGAGCGTGAGCGAATGAGATCGAATTGATCGGCAGTGCATCCCGGACAAGGGCGGGCATCGACGCACCGAACCGCTTGAGAACAGCAGAGGATCTCTCGTCGATATCGACGTTCCCCGGGGAAGCGAATTTCTCCGGATCATAGCTCCCCGCAAATACGCAAGCGGATATCGAAATGAAGGATGGGCGTCGGAACGTATAATTGCGCGATTTACCAGGCTAGCGAGACTCTGCGCGAGGAGACGATCGAAATTGTGATTCAGAAGAGCTTCATGCAATTCCCTGAGGTGCACGGTCGAAACTCCGTACCCGAAGGATAGGATGACGCAACAGGCTTCTTTACGATTTTGACTCCTTTCAGAATAATATCATCGTTTGTTCCTCCCCCATGTTTCGGAGATGGCCCTGCTGGGTCTAGCGTGTATCACTCACAGACCTTGTTCAACGTTTCGAACCCGGTTCCCCTGATTATCACTTATTTCGTAATCATCGATATGTCACTTACCATTGATAATTTGGAATGGTCGGGTGTAGGATTCAAGATGATAAATCCTTCCTTCTCTGCGATCTTCCCGGTGAACAGCTTTTCTCGCGAGGGATCGAATGTTGAACCGATATGATCCTGGTGCGACTCCGTTATTCGGCGGAGTACTCTACATCATACAACGATATATCTGCTTCCGCTCAGAAATCAAATATCAGATGTTCTCCTCGCTACTCAAATACCGCTGGGGGTTTCAGTTCTAAAAATTGAGAGCGATGAGATAGATTAATCAGCAGCTCACTGCACGTCCAATAAGCGAGGTAATGAGATTCTCGCTGCTATCGATATTGCACTTGACTGAGCCACGTATTGGATCGAGTGATTCAGGTCTCTGCGAGCTCAGTGAACTTGAACCTAATCTCGCCCTCGCCTGAGCTCTGAGGCGCGCTTCTATGAACTCCGAGCGAACTGCTGCTGCTGCTGCTAAATCAAGTCACCTCGCAAAGCGGTTGGAATGCTCTTGCTTTTCAGTCACGAACCCCAGAGAACGCCCCACGCGAGCTCATCCTGAACTTCACCCTCGATTTTTTTCTCAACCCCGAAGCGATGATTTCCGTAGAGCACGATCGCGGTCTCTCTGAGGCAGCAGGGAATATGATTCGAGAACTACAGATCGGAAGCGGACCTCGTCGCTGGAGGAATTCTCCGAAGGCTCGTTGACCAAACCTTCTGTGGGACTCACTGATAGAGATCGACCTGTTCCGCGGAAGAAACCTGGCCTGAGCTGATCGGAAACGAAGAAATGGAATGTAACGAAAGCTAAGCATGACCTAAAATCTGAGTTCTCCTTATGACTCCTCGAAACCAAGCGGCTTCATGTAGGTGCAGGGGCATGACATGCACATCGCTCGTTTGGGGAGCGCTTAGAGGAGTTTCTATTCCAGTGCGATTTGTGAAACACGAGCCACCCAATCATTGTCGACCGTCTGGAATTACAGACGTAGATTGACGGAAGCGCGGAGAGCCCAAAAAACCGAGCGATTCCTGCTCCACTCCAGCATGCCTGTTCACACAGCGGAGGCCCAGAAGGTGGCTGGAGCTTCGAAATTGACTCAATCTTCAATGGATTGATCTAGCAGAAGCATGAGATACTATGAGCATTGCAAGAAATTAGCAGAAATCAAAAGATCTGACATACTGACCGTTTCGGTTCAACAGGTTCAGAACCGCCAATATCAAGAGTGGTTCGGACCGCTATGCGGGGATGAGCAGTTGCGCTGCTGTTTCGTCTCAAGCCAATCAATCATCAACCAATTGATCGATCGATAACTCTTTCACCCTATCGATCGGCCGCCAGAGTGATCGTCACTTGGTATTCAGTACTCTGCAGTCTACTTTCGTGAACTTCCCCCGCGCCCTGGCGTTGACACGGATTTGGCTTCTTCGATATGGGTCGGATAGGAAAAACCGTGTCTGGGTACTGGTCGGTCTTCGGAGAGTAGTTGCTTGTCTGAATCCGATCAAGCTCAGATCCCAGGCGAAGTACTTGGCGGCCGACCCTGAACTCCGCTCGGATCAAATAACCCAGCTAGCCGTCGGAACCTCGAAGCTCAACAAGAAGCATGGGCTTTAAAATTCGAGTCAGCGCTTCCGAATGAGCGTCTCTAGAAGAAGCGAGCTGGCGAGCGAGCAAGTGAGCAACCGGGCGAAGCGAGCCACCCCTCGGATCAGCGAGGGAGGGAGAGCGACTCGTCTCATCGAACGCTCCGCTCAGGGATGATGAAGCTGTTCGCCGAGTTCTGGCGCTTTGCTCACAGCTCGGCTCTTTCGAATGTCGCTGGCGATATGAGTGAGTGGCGGCTCGACGGAATGAATCGCTAGCTGAACAGCCAGTCAGGGGAGCCTATCTGTCGGCAGCTCGCCTGGTCGCTCGCTCGCCCGCTCAGCGGTTCGCTGGGCTCGGGAGCAGCAGGGCGCGCATGCGTACGAAACCGCCCGAAAGAAATGGCGACTATGACTCACAGCAGCTTGAACTGCTGGCAGACACAATTTTCACACGAGAACTATTCAAAGGATGTGATGAGCAGTAATATTTTCCGTACCGTCGGCGGGAAAGCGATTCCGATGGAGCAGATCTCAATTCTGACAGAGGCACGAAGTCTGCCATTCAATCTCGGCCAGACATTAAGCGGCGTGGCTCGACGACAGCGAGTACAACTGATACCACTGCTATACGACACCTCGATTTCCAAGCGAACTTGATAAAAATCTGAGGTTCTGTACTTGATCACTCAGGAGTCGTTGGGTAGGGTTCGAATGTTCGGACGCTCGCTCGGAGCTCTTCATGGATGTTGCCCAAGGTTGTTGGAGCATGATTGATGCCAACGTAGATTTTCCCCGATGCGACGACTGCGTCGAGGCTTTCGAGGATGGAGACGTTCAAACATTTGCCATATGCTGAAGCAAGGAATATGACCTTGAAGGGAACGGGCACAGCTCACGGATCAGGAGACTCCGATCTATGAACAGAATATGAACGAAAGCCATGCATCATCACACAATTTCGTTATTCAGAGGGATTCACAGGGAGCTGGCCGGCGATAACCGAACGACCGGAGACGCGCTGGCTTCGTCGAAGACAGTTCTTGCAGTCTTTGAGCAGCAGCAGTAGCAGCAGCAACAACCAGGTTGTACTCGAGACGACTGTTGTTGTTGGAGAAGCTGTTTCCGTAGCAGATTTTGTCGATAAGTTGGAGCTGACAATACGGCGATATACGAGCAACGACGCCGCAAGCCACCGAATCAACGCCTCGGTTTCAGCAGCTTTATTCGCGGCGTCGGCTCGATGCGTAGTTCGGCAGACCCCGTGAGGAGCACCGACGACGAGTTAGGCCTAACCGGTAGCACTGATGAGTAACTTTTTCGCCGTACCTAAATTTGTGCTCAATCGAAATATCGACGTTTCTGCCAGAAGGCAGATTGCGTCCTCTTATTAAGGATGCAAATCGTAGCACGAGTTGATTTGCTGTCGATTGAACCTGTGGGAGAAATTCCAGCGTTAGACAACATCGGCCGTCGACGCCATCACTGCAACACACACCTCCTACCCGATCGAAGTCTCTTTGGCTGCGGCCAACAAGCAGGCAACGAGACTTGGCTGCGGGGACACGGCTAAATTTCTACAGATTCTTTTCTGCTGTTCTTGTCGTGCTTCAAAACGCATCCGGCCCAGGCAGGCGATGCTTTCAACTGATTTTGCTATCGACGAGCGATTCGATGAAAGCCTCTCAACATCCGAAAACGAATTCCAATCTCTGCTTACAGCAGCAGTCGCAGCAGCAACAACAACACCTACCGTAGCTGGAATGATTCTGACCCTTCCCTATCATCATACGCAGCAGCGTTACTAGGCGCCACCCGTCGCTCTCAAGTCGCCTTGGCTTTGAGAGAGAGGCGAAATGAGAACAACGACGATCCCGCCGCTGCCGCGCCGACAAGGATCGCCGCCGCGGCCGTTTTTTCTTGCAGGGGGCATTGCATCGAGGGACGATCAATAAAACAACTTTCCCCGATATTTCCAAGCTCCGAAATGTCTGCCTCGCTCTCAGAATAATTCTGTGAGTAATTCATGCAATTCCCGAGAGGCTCTGATCGGAAATAGAAATACGGGGTTGGTATTCGTCTTTAGAGCCGCTTCACCATCGGCTAGCAAATATTGCGTTCATTCGTCAGGGGATGGCGAAACCCGATACGTGAGAGTTGGCATGTGCGATTTTATCGCGTATCTGGTCACTCTGAGCTTATGATCAAGCTGGCGCTCGATAATTCCGCCAGAATTTTTAGGGGAAACGCGTGCGTAAACGCATGCGGGGTAGAATTCTACGTCGATGGCATCTGGCGATGATGATGGGATCCTCAGGCAATGATGTCGATGATTTTTGGTGGACGACTCTTCAAGAAGTGGGCTACTCGAATTCTCGGGAGTAAGGGCTTCTTTAACATCAGGATGGGGCGGACCGAAACCGCCAAGAGCATTGAGATGTACTGCGCTTCTTCTCCTCCGCTTCGTGAGTTGTTGCGAATCAAGCGAGACCAAGCGAATCCCTTTGGTACGATGAAGGGTGAGCCTTCCAAACGGAGCACTCAAGATTTGACAGGACAGGGAGTCAAAAACGTCATCTGAAGAAGAGGCATTCCGTCTGGAGACTACTACCATGACTATCTGCTCCGTGTAAGCGTGGATCCGGGGAAATTCCTGAGCTCTGCTCCTTGGACGAAGCGGGATGCAGCGCGGAGGACTCGATCCCTGAGTTCAGGATCCGCTGCGCTGTCCGGGTGATCTGAGTCCGGAGAAAGATGTCTTCTCGGAATCCTTGGCCCCCCCAACACGCACGTGCTCTTTGGGGCAGCCCGCACACCTCGTTCACCTTCGTCGGTTCTCGGCGACGGGGGCTCTCGAGCTCTCTCTTCATTGTAGCATTTTAACTACCTACCAATGCGTCGAACCGACTTTGGTTCGGGCTCCCCCGGTGTCTTACGCGCGGACGGAGAGATATTGATAACCCTAAAGAGGTCGCACCTCCGAGTATGCAAGCAGCGAGCATGGATCCTCGTCGTATTCCCATCATGAATCATGACCAAGCCAAGCAACGAACACGAAACGGCAGTCGAAACTCCATTCGAACGCAAAAATGTACGCATCGAGGTCCGCGTCTGCCTTCTATCTCCTCTCACGGATCTATGCGATCGATGATTTTCAGAGAGTGCTCTTCAAGTTCTCTTTGAGTCTACCGTCGCATGAGCCCGGTATCAACGGACGAGAGCGTGATGGTGGGTAGGTGCTTTGTGTTTGTCAAACGGATCGAAGGCCGGGTACGGGAGCACAGCGGGACACGTATGGACTCTGAAGATCTGGCCCCTGGTACGAACAGAGTCGGAGTTTTCCCAAGATAGAAATGACAGAAATTAGAGCTTAGAAGAATGGTTCCAGAATTATAAGCCTCAGTATCCTTTTCCGTTCATCTATACGGAAGTACGTGCGTTCTCCAGGTCGGCCTGGGCGTGGAGTGAGCTACTCGTAATTCTCTCTTGCTTTTATGGTGCGAAATATAGTTGCGCAAGCTACAAGAGCTGTCCGGAGCCGCGAACCAGGAAGACCAAGGGTGATCAGTCTTGTCTGCGCCGTTGACGAGGGAGCTGAAGCTGGAGCCGGCAGAGAAGAGAGAGACAACATCGCCTGGTTAGTTCTGCTCGAAGATTCAGCGAAGATCATTGGCATCATTGTCCGGAGCTTTTCTTCGCGATATCTCATCCCTCAGCTTTCGGTCGTCGTATCTAGCTGTGACCAACCTTTGGGAGTCGAATAGATACGAACTCTAGCCGTCTTGAAAGTACGTGAGTCCGTACGAATCCACACCGGGGATATCCGCGCGCGAAACTGCAGGCTTCTGCTGAGCAGAACACCACCGGCCGCTGTTGGGAAGGAAAACAAAGTCATCACGTATAAGCTGGGATTATTGAAGTGCTGTAACTAAGAAAACTCATGGCGCTTTCTTCACGCTGGATCTCTCGCGCATCCTCCATCAGGATTGGTGCGCGTCCGAATTCCTGTGCCGCTCTCATTCCTCCTCAGAGATGCTCAAGTGATCAAGGGATCTCTTGTTTGGGACTTCCCCCCACCGTGAGTCTCTCCGGAGCTTCCTGCGCGAGTTCGGTCTTCAAGACAGAATATAATTATAATTGTCGCTGAGGAAGCCAAGGCAAGGAACCAACCAGCCAGACACCATATCTTCCCCGCAGTTTGTGATGCCGACTATGTTTGCAGCGGTTCCTGTCGAATTCGAGCGTGCTCCGGACCGCCGAGGACAGCAAAGAAGAGCAAACTCAGGACCAAAACCCCGATGGTAATACGAGCAGACGGAAGCCGTATGTCGTTCATCCCGTGGAGACCAGCATACGATACATGAAGAGCAACGCGTATCGAAGGGCTTACGGAGATGATCCGGTGTGGACTCTGTACAGAAGGAACTTCAAAGGACAATTTGCTCCACCAACTCGTAAATCGTGCCTGGTAAGTTCTCAACTCTGTCGACATGAATCACGCGGAACAGTCAGAAATGAGGAGATTCCCCCGGAGGGATGCGCTCGAGCAGAAGACTTCTCGCCATCTGCGGGTATCGTCGCTGACTCCGCGAGTGTTTCCGCTCAATCCTCGATACGACCAAACTTCCGATCGAAAGTCTAATGACATTCACATTTGTATCTTCAGCACAAGAACCATCACTCGACTGGAAGTCCATGTCCAGTGTGCCGCGACGAATATCTCGTCGTGGATTACAGGAACCCGGCCCTCCTAGAACAATTCATTTCACCCTACACGGGGCAAACCCTGACCACCAAGAAAACAGGTGAGACGGATGCTCTGCATGAACGCGGAGATCCGAATCTTCAGTCACAACCACGAAGCCTCATCGTGACGTCTCAGCGTCGCCCTGAGCATCTCATTGCTACCAATGATCTGTTTCAGGTGTCTGTCAAAAAGTTCAGTTCAAACTCGAGCTAGAGATCATGAAGGCTCACGATTACGGTGAGTTTGCCTCCACTGGGCTCCGTCGCTGCTCCCTGTCGAGGCTGTTGTCGTTTCTCCCCTGTGACGGGGGTCATTCCTGTGTTCAGAGGTGGATCGTAGAACAGGCTATTCTTCTATTCCAGGAACACTTCAATTTGAAGTACCCTTCCGAGAATACGACTACGAGGATTTTTATCCGCAACTGAAAGCAACTAGGGAGCCGTATTCCGCAGATAGCCCATGAATGTTCATGACTTGGCGGTGACTCATAGATACGCGTGGAGCATAAAGTCGAAGCAAGTTTGGACATGTGAAATCCCGTCTATTCTTTGCTATGATCTTCAGAGGTTACATCCGTCCTTCGTTGGTACCGTCGGCGTCGCTCGGTCGCCCTTCCCCAGCTAGAGATACTCTGCGACGCAACGTCGGACTGAACGCTCCGTATCCGACGGTCGATGACGTTCTCCTGGGATTAATGATTATAGTTTTCTCAGGATATCGCTCAGATTCGAACACTCTGTGGAAAGAAAGTTAATCTTCCGCTTCACGTCGAGTCTTATACTGGCCGAATAGCTTTATTCATTTCAACAGCTCACCAAGCCCAGCGCACGCGCTGAGGGCTTTCGGTCACATTCTATTCGTTCCTCTCACCGGCCAACTAGTGATGGATTCATAGTTGTCATGCTTGATAGATACGTTAACGATTAATTCTATTTCAACATCATTCCCCTGTAGCTCGACTGATGAGGCGTCTCATCTGGTTGTCGTTTCCAACTTTCTAGTTTCAGCTAAACTACTCATGGCCGTCGCGCGACAGGTCGACCGGCATATATATTCGATTCACGATCCGTTTTCGCTTATTCTCCGTCTTTCGACCATCAATCGGCGAGACAGATCGATGGAAACAAGTTGATGGAAATGCTCCTCCCATCAACAAACAGTCAACTCATCGAACGAACGATAATCTTATATTCCTTTTCTGCGAATTGTTCAACAAAGCATTCGTTCAGAGAGACATATGTAGATACAGCAGCTGGACATACAAAAATATATGCAATACCCTTAGAACTATCAACTCAGAGCTCCCCGTCCTCAAAGGATCAACGTATTCAATACAACGGTCAAATCAGGTTACTAGCGCTTATCCCTGAATTATTGCCGATATAACAGTGGAGGTTCTCGTTTGGAAACGGCCCAGCGGCTCCAAGACACAATCAGTGGCAGTCCATCAAGCAAAACAGCGACAAATACGAAGAATGAATAACGGGAGATGAATAATGATAATAAGTCAATGTCGATAACTGAAGTCGTCCGGTTAACATTTCACTAGGCCGATCAATCGCAGACCGATTGCCGTGAGAGGTCAGCGATGAATTGGCTCCTACAAAGTGCACCTTTCAACAGTCCCTGATCCGCAACCGGGAACATGAACAAATCTGAGATTTCAACAAGTTGGAGAATAACATTACCCTTCTGACTTGCGCAGTGGACGACGCTGGATAACAGATGGTTCCAGGTCGTCCGCCAGAGTTTTCCTGCGACGTCAGCATAGATGCGTTTTTCCAAGTCGTAGCTCGTTCTAGGTTTTCGAACACTAGTTCACGTTTCACGTACTAGACAAACCAAGCTCGCTACGGTTAGAGTTTTCTGAATAGATGAATGACACCCGGCTCGGACACCGCAGTCCGCTGCTCAGCGGGGCTCGTGGACCTCAGGATCGCTTCCTCGTTCCTATGTGGTTGAAGGATTCCGGCACTTGAAGATGAAATTCGCCTTGCGGTAGGCGGCGGCACGCTCTGTATTTTCTTTTAAGGTTTTTTTTAGTTCGATCTCAGCCCCTCTTGGAATCACCAGAAATTTCAAAGGCCGTCAATTAAGGGTGTTCCAGGAGGTGACAGCATGTGCTGGATGAGGAATCGGACGATGATTCGTCGCTTCGAAGGAACGCACTCCAAGACATGAGGTGATGATTCTCGATCCGGCTCCTTGAACAGGCAAGGAAAGCGCCCTGTTGGTGAGCGCAATGAAAGACAAGCGGTGTCGGAGATGTGGATCAGCTTTCGGGGGAAGAAAGATGTGCTTCCCCAGACGCAGAGAAGCTTTCGCTCGAGCGTGCTCACGCACAAAAAGGATACGGGATTTTTTTGGAATCTTACTGAAGATTTCCCAAGCCCCGCAGCGCACCGGATGTCATTCAGCTCTTAACGATGAAGTCGCACAACACAAAACGAATAGATTCCAGGATTTGGCTTTATGCACCTACTCCCAGGATCGCGAACCCGTCCTCGTCAGTATTCCCTTTAGAGATCGTGGCCGAGACGGTCGAGTTCCGCCAGGAGAAAATCGATGTCTTCTTTCTTTACGGCGGCGTTGGACACGATGTTCCGGAAGAAATTGGGGAGATGCCTCAGCGGCTGATAAGTGATCATAAGGGATCCAGTCGTCATCATTCGCGCCTTCAGCTGGGCGGTGATCTGGAAAGACAGATCCCACGCTCAGCTAGCGCGGCAATATATATAGCGAGGCGAAAACTTGGAAGTTTGTGATTGCCGCTTACCCTGCCGAGCTCGGCGTTCCTTTCTTTGGTATCGGGCTGATCCCTCAGTCGTTCCGGGATGTACCAGAAGAGGACATTCACCATTTCGGGTTCTTGAATGAGATGGAACTTCTCGGGCATCTCCTTCATCCTCTGCACTAGATAGCTGGAGGACAGACAAGTCATTTTGAACAACACGAAAATCGAGATTCGGCATCCGATAGGTCAAATCGAGTAAGATTCATTCCGTGAACGTACTCGGACATTGCGAACAAGTGATCGATGTGCTGCTCGAATCCTTCGTTTCCTTTGCCTCTCCACATAAGCCAGAGTTTGAAGATATCGTTCCGGCGACCGCACTGAGGTACTTTGTCACCAGTATCGAAAGACACGTCATAATGTTTATCTTGTTGGAAGAGATATTCTGCGCACATTTGATTGCAGCCGAGAAGAATTCCCTGTACAATTATTGCTCAACGTCAGCTACTCCGGATCAATGCTGCTATCGTCACACCGTGCTCGAAGAGCTCTAAACTCGATGTTCGACCCTTCAAGGTCAAGAAGATCTAGCGACTCACGTCTTGTTTGAAATGGATACTCGAGCACTGAAGGTGAGTGCCCATGAGTTTGTGCGGATTCCAAGTCACCGAGTTCGCCCTTTCTACACCCTCCATGAGGCGACGGTGTTTCTTCGAGAGAAGTACACCCCCACCCCAGGCCGCCTGTTGGGGAAAGATCAGAATTAGTGGCAACAGCCATAGAGACAGGTTCTTCACAACCGTGTACTCTTCCTCGTTCCGCCAATAGTCTTCAGTGTTCTCCTTATCAGTAAAAAACTCACATCGATATGGAGCCATATGCCGTACTTCTGGCATAGCTCGGCTATGGGTATAATGGGGTCGAAAGCTCCAACGACAGTTGTTCCGCAGGTGCAATTCACGAAAAAGGGAACCTGTCCCCTGGCCTTTGTGGCGAGCACCGCTTCTTCCAGTTTGTCTACGCGCATACGACCAATCTCATCGACGTCGATCTGAATGACGTTGTCCGTACCCAGACCACACGACGCAGCCGCTCCCATCGCTGAGTAATGGCTCTGTGAATTTTTGAGAAATGCTGTGCTCAGTGAGCAGATACTCGACAGCGTCAGAAAGGACGCATGCTTTTCACTCTACGTCGCTCGACTCACATCAATCGATGTGTACATTACGAGTTGAGGTAGCGCCTTGAGTCCGAGTTTTTTGTAGTTTGGGAACATCTTATGACGAGCACCCATGAGCGCATACATGTTCGCTAAGGAGCCGCCGGGAGCGAGGATGGAGTCGCCGTGAACGAAACCTAGAAACTTCCGCATCTCCTTCAGCACGACGTTCTCCATCAATATGAAGACAGGCGCGATCTCATAGGTGAACCTGAAATCGGAGGAGTTCTCCTTGTCTGGGAATTTTCTCGTTGACACACCGAAGAACTAGAGATTCCGTACGGAAACTGAAAGAACTGGGAAAACGTACATATTCGTGTTTGCCGCCGAAGTCAGCCATTCTCCGGCGAGCGATAGGATATCCAGTCCCGAAGAGAGTTGATTGAAGTAGTGGGGATGGCCCGTCTTCACCTGCCATTTCAAGGTCGAGCGGCAGTCTTTCAGGAGCTGGCCGAGGGGCAATCCTTTCTGAGGGATATCGAGGTCCAGGATCTGCTCAAGCTCTTCGGGCATCTTGAAGTCGAGGATCTTCGATTTGCGATCGTTCTCTTCATCGATGTATTCGAGAAGGATTTCGACGACCTTCATGAGGAAGGCACGGGTTTGTTCTTTTCCATCTTTATTGATCGGATAGATGTCTGGGAAATAATGTAAACTTTGTGGGTCATTGTTATCCATTACTGGCATATTCCGAGCGGCTGAAAGAGCACAAGATTGTGGCTCTGTTTCGAAAATTCGATCGTATCGATCGTTCCTCTCGAGGAGCCATCAACCCGTGGTCCGCTCCTCTCAGATTTGGGAGGAAAATCGAGGCACGTAGCAGATGTGGGGGACCCGATATCGAATCCGTTTCTAAAAATACACCTCCGGTCCTGGGAGGACTTCTATCGCGGGGAGGGCTGTGACGTCATCGGATGACGTCAACGCCTCCTCCGATCGCCTCAATGGCTGGCCTGGGACACCGAACGTGGTAGAAGCGTTGAGCGTTTTCCTGCCCTGAACCCTCTTCCCCGAGCTCTCAAGGGCGCTCTCGGCAGAGGTCACCCAAGCGTGAAGGCAACGAAAACGTTCCGTGCAGACTTTCCGACATTATTTAGCTCAATTATTAATCCGCGATGCGTCGCGCGACAGCTCATTCAACGCGAGGAATTGTATCCTATCGAGAACGCAATACACGACACCAATGCGGTAAACCCAAAGACTTCGTTTGTGGCGAGAATCATTGCTTTGAGGCGAGATGTTCCGCCAGAAGCGGTGGAAAACGAGGATCCGTTCCGCGCTGGATTCCGAGACGCATCCTGGAAAATCGTTCCCGGAGTTTTCGAGCCAAATCGGAGCTCCAGCTGATTCCTGCACTCCTTTCTCAAGTTGCGTCTCGATACAGTCGTGGTTTTGGGTCACCTCTGATGACCTGAACCACGTTTCACCTCCACACGCCCTACTGGCCTCGTTCCCGGCGCTTCACCACGAGTTTCATCGCTGCTCTCCAGCGACTTTCGCCGTAGACCGCCTCGGCCTGAAGATGATTCGGGTCCCAGCCACGGATCCTCGGGCCTCCTACTCGTCGACGGTTGAACTTTCCTTGACAGCGCGTAACCGCTGATTGCCGTGGCTGGCTCGGGTCTGCGTCTCCCGCAAACTCGTCTAATGAGTGATTTAAAAATTTCTCGCATGCTTCAAGGTGCATTTGAGGTGTCGAATAACTGACCTTCGTGACCAAGGGTCTCGATGTTATCCGCCATGATGATGTCGTTGGTGAAGACGCGCTCCGGGTCTGAGACGGTCGCTGACTGCTTCTGAGAGAGCTCTCCCTGTTGGTCGCAGAGACGGATCTTTCCGTTCCCCTTGCCAAAGTCCCAGCGAAGCTCACCCGCGAAGTTTGTACTCCGCCGAGCTTTGGGAGCTTCGTAGTCGGGCCAAGCGGCTCGCTAGCAAGCAAGCGCTCCGAACTCGCTTGCCAATAGGCTTGCCAGTCAGCCTCGCCGAACGCTTGCTCCTCCGGCCGCTCGCCCGTCCGCGTGCACGTACGAACTAGAGTGCCAAGCCGGATCCGAGTCACAGCGAAGCGAAGCGTTGCTTCACCGTCTAGCCGCGAAGTCCTCGACGAAGTACTGCCGACCCGCTGCGGAGGACTGGGCTTCGATGGAGGTGCGGCGACCGGACTCGACTTTTTCAGAATATGGTGGCGATAAGAACACGTACGATTAATCTCAGATGGTATTTCCCCAGGAAAGCCGACCGTCAATTTCCCAATCGTATGCGTACATCGTTAGCCAAAATATCCGTAGTCGTTCTGAGATGCTCGATTAACACTTCATTATCTTGTAGAGCATGAGGATTCCTCAATTCGGTCAGCTGATCATCCGTGCAGCCCAGAGCTCATCCTCAATGGCTCACCCTTCTCAGTTTATTCAGTGACATTCAGATGACAAGGACGGACTCGCTCAGAACACACGACTAACTGCGAACACTTGTCGGCTGGTGTTCGCATCTCCCAAACATCTCTTCCCGAATGATCGTAAAATTCCTGATATACGACGTCTCTTGAAGCACTCGGTCACCTTCATGCTTTCCGGGTTGGTTCGCGATTCTCCGAAGTGGCTCGAAAGCTGCGAAACCTCAACGAAAATGCTCGAGCGAGGACGGTCTGGCATAGAGTCTCCACGAACGGAGGGGAATTCGTCACCGAAGCTTCTTAGCGTGAACGGCTTTCATTCTCCACTCCAGGCTAGCCTGCGTCTCGAAGTCCTATCACATGCCCACGGTTTTCTAACTCATCTCGTTGAAAGCAGACCGGGGTGCTGGGAAAGCCAACAAGCATTGTGCTCATGTCCATGGGGAGCGAGGTTCGAGCAAGGTCTCGCTCTACCAGTACCGAGTTGAATATGGGGAGAATGTTGAGCCACCGACTGACTCCGTGGTGTACGTCCTACTTGTTCGATGGGCAGCTTCATGACGGAAACGGAGTTCTGCTCCAGCGTTGCCTTTTTTGAAGGTCACGTCAACAGGTGTCCCGAAAAATGGTCAGGCTAGACCCGGGATTGCATCGGGGGCCGTGCAGAGATTGGCCGTGCAGAGATTGGCCGTCAGTGGCGAATACCACTTCCTCAGCTCCCGTTGCCCAAGAACTACTGAAACATGTTCAGAAATACTCCTTGTTCGGGCCTTCGGAATTAAGCAGGAAGCGAGCACCCAGGGAAAAGCTCCACAAAAAAGAGCGATGCAATCACGGATGCTGAGCGAGCCTTTTCTCAGATTAATAAGCTACGCTGCCCGGAGATGATCCTGAGCAGATTCGAACGACTATCTTGACGACGTTCTACCGGACAAAAACTCTATTTGACGCTCTTACACGTTGTTTCTCATATTTCCAATACAGGCTTCGGAGGAGACGCGATCACTTGAGCATCTCCGGGCCTGGCTCGAGGGACTCCAGTCCCGGGAACTCGGACATGAATTCCTCCTTTGCCATGAATGAATGCGTTGATTAGTTCGGGGATGGGTTCGGGGATGCATCGACGGACATCTATTTGCGGATCCGACTTTTCATGATGACGCTCTCTCCGGAGCTCCCGCGTATCGACTCCCCATATTGTAGTTTGACGTCATTGGGAGCCCCAGTGAGAAGAAGTTGTCACGCAAGCCCTCGTAAGCTCTTCAGGAAACGCCGCTCCCGACAAGCGGCTTGGGTCATTCCAGGGGACTAGATGAAATGAATGTCGACAGAATGCGGAACGTTTGGAAGCTTCTTAGCTCGGATAACGAAGGCGTTCGTTTCAGAGGGAGAGAAACAATCAGAGGGCGTGGCGACGCGACGGAATCACAGAATTCTTATTCAATACCAAAGAGCAGCAATCGTCCGTAATCATCGATATTGGATCGAGGCTCGCTCGCTTGGTCCCCGTTCTTGAATGAACTCAAACAAAACTGCCGCGGCACGGCAGTCACTTTCTCCAGAATTCGGAATCCCCTGTCGGTGGAGATCGAATGACGGATTCCTATGCCAGAGAAATGCCTTGGGTCCGTCAGAGAGTGTACGGAAAAGGTCAGCTCGACGTGTCGAACACAAGATTTCCTGCAGCCGCGAAGCTTCGCCTAGCTCCGCCGAGATACTCAGGCCAGCCTCGTGAAGGCCATAGACCTCGATGCGGTGTCAGCCATTGATGTCCGACATCGTCCTGAGATCGTCGCCGAACTCCAACGACCCGACCTCTCCTGGAATCATTTTCGCATTCTCCCCCTCGGGAGCCCAGGATCGAATTCCCATCCTGAGGAGCTTTTTCGCTGGTGTTTTGTGTCGATATCTACAAGAAAAAAATGCCTGGTGCCGATATGAATCCACCGCTTCCCTTGAACTCCTGGGACGGTTCGGAAGATTTCAGCCGGGATGCAGGAATTTCGGTTCGCGATCGCCGAACCATGCAAGCTATCATTGAACTGCGGTTCGGACGCCACACAGCATCGAATGCGATCGAGCGGGATCGATTGATCCCATGCGTGACCAACTTAAATCGAGGATTGTACCATCGCAAAGGAATATGATAATCGACCAGAAACCCTGTATTCGACCTTTTCTGTGGATACCCGTCAGTCATACGTCGATTGGTGAATAATTATTCCCAAACGATTGATTGTGAAGACGTTACGCAATCGGGCTCTCAGCTACTAGAGATCTGATTGAGAATTCGAACGCCGGGGCCGTTAGAGCGGGTGCGCCATAGACCGTCTCACAAGCGCCGGGAGCACGTAGACGGAAATTCTTTTGGGACCATTGCGAGAAATTGTGATTATACGGGATAGTTTCCCTCTCACGTCGGTCAGACTACGGCCGTGTTCTGAGTTTAATGCTCCGTGTGATGCCGAACGGAAAACACACCATTGAATGACGAGCTGATGGCGCGGAGGATCGATACGACCTGTCACGGACAGAGGGGTCCGTCGCGTCATCCGTTTGCGAAAAACACGCACCTCGCCCACTCAGTACTCCATGCAACCAGCACATAACATTCACTGAGAGATCGAGTCGTGGACGAGTGTCAGTGATTCTTTTAGAAACGTCAATATCGCGGATAATCCGCTATTCTGGTCCAGGACAAGCAGTCCCATTCATAACATATTTTTGAACGTCAATATATAAGCTCTGGGGTGTGCACCCGCGTAGGTACACCCATCAGCGCAGCGCTGGCTTCTTCAGCGCTGAGCGTCAGCTGTTTCTCCATCAGCCGGTCGAGAGCAGAGAGATGTTGAGAATACTGTGATGGAGCGACAACAGCGAGAAACGCCGATCGACAAGACACAAGCATCACGACAACGAGGCAGCCTCAGCGCTCCTCGGAAACTTCAGTGTCCGGGATCAAATCCCCAGTGTTTATCAAGATCCCAGTAACGATCGGAGGCTCAGTCCCTCTATCGTTAGCATTCCATCATCTCCAGAAGGTTTGCCATCAATCTGGATATGTCCGAGATATATGTATTCGTTTCGCGCAGCGCACCTCGCGTGGATTCAAGTTCAAATCTTGTGTCTTCATTACCACACGGTCCGAAACCGTGCTAGTGTAGTGCGCTTGCCACAAACTGGTGTCAGAAGTGGGGTTTCCAACATCGTCGGAGACCCCACGTTAATGAGGGTGAACAGCGCTCCCGCCGCCGCCACTGTCTATTCAGATGCCACTTGCCAGACTGCCAGATTCGCACCCCATCTTGTCCACCTACCGGGGGCTATAGCGTAGTTCTACGCCGAAAAAATGACATGATAGAGTTCAAATCATCAGCGAGTGAACTCCGTATCCGCTGGGACGGAGAACGGTCTTTGCTTCGCTGATTTGTGACAAATTTCGATGAAGTGTATTATGAACATGACGATCAAGGAATGGACAATGGCACTGCTTCTCTTTGGATTGGCATCTCAGCTTCCCATTCCGGAGGTTCCTCGGCTGATGAATGGTCCGATGCGTGATGATTGGAGCTGGAAAGGTCAGGTGTTCTGCCACAAATGCCTTGGCCTGCCAATTTGAGCTTTTTCCGAGCATATTCGCCCCGGATTCCGGAAATTTCGAGAGCAAAAACCGGTGTTCGATCGGGAGGTCAGGGTTATATGTGCGGGGGAGAAGGAATTCCACGATAATCTTCCAAGCTTGAAAACAATAGAATGACGGGGTGCGCGTCGGTCGGAGAAAGCTCTAGGCAGGCTCGTCTCTGTTGGGAGCAAAGTTGTGGTTAGGTCTCGAAATGGCGGAAACTTCTTGCGGAGCGGAAATATTCCGGACTATCATTCGGTGAATGCGGCTTTTTCAGTGCCTCAGATGTCCAGATGATGAAAGGGATCGACAGGTCCGCTATGGTATTCCCGGCGGTCCGTTGAGAAAAGGGAATCGAATTCATAAATAATAATCGTCGAAAACGGTGTCTTCATCAGGTTATTAAAGAATATCTCAGTACCGCCGGATATTGCACAAATCATTCATTCTGATTACATTCTGTGGGAGATTTGACTATTTCCGGGTTAATGCTCCACCTCAAATTTATTCATAGGGTGATGCCATGCCAGAATTATCGATAGTGACCCGTCAGCATCGCCTTCCCAGCGGGGAAACAATGGATGCATATGATGATGTCTAGAGCGACTTCTCAATTTTCTCAAAAACTGCTCAAAATTCCCGATTCTCAACTTCTCAATACTTCAACGTAAGTGATTCTAGCATACGGATTCAACGTAGAGCCGGTACAGTAGGGCCCCAAGCACACACAGCTCAAGTCCGTCGTCTCCGGATTCCTGAAAAATCGAGTAGCGAT